GATATCCAGAGCAATCCACAAAGAGAATCAATTAATGACTTGGCAAAAAAAGCTGCATACAAAAATATTTATATATCTGCATACTAATGTAACCAAGAGGCTAAAATGTATTTTAAAAATTAAGATTTTCCTTTTAGAGACAAACTACTTCTCTAAATTTCCTTGTGCTGAGGATGTAAACCACTACCTGTTCCTCTCCTCTGCTCAGAAGCATCCATAGAAAGGTAATACCTTTGTTAGAAGATAGCATATCTTCTGGAAGAAATATGCAGACAGCTGTCCTAGGAGATGGGGTTCAGGTTTCTTTTTCACAAGGGAGGGAAGAAGGTGAGAATGGCTGTGGGGGAAAGCCAGGGCATTTCCTTGTGTGTTGTTTCTTGTATTCCCTTCTTCTCTCTCCTTTGGGGAAAAAACCTACCTGAACAAGATGAGATGGATGTATGAGATGTTATATGCTGTCAATTCTCCCAAAACTGATTTATATATTCAGCCATCCCAATTATAAAATACAGGTTTTATTTTTGGAAATTAATAAGCTGAGTTTAGAACTTACATGGGAAGACAAAAGGCCAAGAATAATCATGGTAGCTTTGAAAAGCAAAAAGCAAAGTGGGAAAACATACATTGGAAGATTTTAAGATCTATTATACACTTGTAGAAATTAAGACAAGGCAGGCTTAGAATTGGGTAAGAAATAGACCAGTGGAACAGAATAGAATGTCCAGAAACGTCCTTAGACATGTATAATCATATTATTTATGGCAAACATGACTGTGAGGTACAATAAGAAAATAATCATGTAAATATTCTGAGTTAAGGGTAAGCCCATATAGAAAACAATATAATCAATCCCTACATCAAACCATACAATAATCATTTTCAGATGGAATGCATATCTAAATGTAAAAGGTAAGGCAATGAAACTTTTAGTAGAAAACGTTGATGTATATCTTATGATCTTGGAGCAGACAAAATTTTACTGAAGGGCATGAATACTGAAAATGTTGAAAAAATGGTAACTGGACTATCTTAAGATTAAAAAATTCTTAAAAATGTACAACAAGGAGAATGAAGATTAAGACAAATTAGGATATTTGTGATATATATTCATTTAGCTCATATCTAGAATATATGAAGATTGCTTGAAAATCAGTACTAGAAAATAGACAACTTAATTGAAAAGAGGGGGAACTTGAGTAAACATCTCACAGATATTATTTGAGTGCCCAAAGAACATACAAAACATTTTTCATTAGTCTCCAAATAAATTCAAATAAAAGCTACAATGAGATAATAGAATATACCCATCAGAATGGCTAAGATGTAAAAGAAAGATAATAACAAGCATTGGGAAGAATTTGGAGCAACTAGAACTCTCACATATTACTGGTATGACTGCAGATAGTTGCAGTTAATTCAAAACACTACTACAGCTGCACACAAGTTTATGAACATATGTCTATTCTATGACATATGACAAAATGACACAGAAGTTCCTCTCCCAATTATACACTAACAGAATTTTGTATATATTTGCCAAAAGATATAT